ATTCTGACAGCGAGCTCAACTTTGAGGAGGGCAGGGAAGTCGCTGTTGTTTGTGATGCAGACAGCAGCTGCTGCAACTCCGACATCCTCATCAATGGAAAGGTTCTGTATCTCGGGCATTACTAAATCCCACTCGTGGCAACAGTAGCATCCACCTCTGTCTGCATTAATTCGCACTTGAAACAAGTGCACCATGATTTGTTGGCCACCCTGGATATCGCAGCTCCAGCTGAGGCTCCTGCGGCTCCGGCTTCAGCTTCCATCACTTCTCTGTCCACCCTCTCTCTTTCTGCCCGATCTAACTCCATTTCTCGAAGTTCATCGTCAGTGTACTCGGGTTCATAAAGATATCCCTTTGGCTCTAAGTGGAAGTCGATGTTTTCCTCGTCGCTCTCGTAGTCAGACATCTTCCCCAGTAGTAAACAATCGCGAATCAAACAGGTAGGCCCTTAACCTGACAACAGCCAGATGCATGCCTCGCTCCGCCCAGCTAGGAGCTAGGCGGAGCGAGACATGCATCTGGCTGTTGTCAGGTTAGTAGGCCCTAGCTGTCAGGTCATGGTGTCGCGCGCACTGATACGAACAGAGAGAAAATAGGACCAAGTGATAACGACGTGTGACTTTTTCCACTACAATGTTTTTGGGATGCAAAAATATCACTCTTTTGAACACATAATGTTTTGGGAAGAGAAACGTTTTATTTCGCTGGGTCTAGCAAACCTGCCGGACTACTTTCGGCTTGACCAAAGCTGGACGAGAACTCTGCTCACAGGACGCTGCCAGGGGTAAGTCAGTGTGATTGCATGACACTGGTGATGGGGATGCCATACAGATTCATGTCAAAAATCCCGAACTATCCCTTTAATGTATTGTCTACTGTCACTTTTCATCATATTTTTAGTGATTAGGAAAATATTTAACAAATAAATAATTGTATTTTAAATTAAATGTAATTTTTAATAAATGTTGGCATCAGTAGTTTCACTATATATTCTAAAATAGTTAGAGCAATATACAACTGTATTACTCATGTTTCTCGCCAAAAACTAAATTTCCCGTTTTCTTTACGTTACACTTGAACGCATCATGATAACCTAATTGTCGTTTTACTGAGCCAAACTGAACACATCATCACGCAGCAAGTCTGAAACTTTATTTACTTTTCAAGCTAACTAGCTTGTATGCTTCCGATTACAAGACGGATTTCAAAATTACTATTTTTAACTGACCGGTCAAGCTACAAAGTCTGTGTGCGCGCTTACCAGTGGTACTCTGAGTGGATGATGAAGACGGGCCCGACTGTGGCAGCCGCAGGAGGAGGAGTCTTTTCCGTTCAGCCATTCTCGGGTCGCGAGCAAAGTTAAGTGCCAGATTTCACTTGTTTTACTTTTAATATCTGTTTGCTTACAATTTCATTCCAAAACATTGGTGGACATGCTGCAGTGATTGGATTGATTAGATTTAAATGCTGTGACGCGACTCGAGGGACACACAATTATGTTACAGGACCTCCGGGAAAAAAAAACAAAAAAACGACCAGACTCGATAGTGGTATCGATAAGCCCAAACGTTATTGATTTTCGGGTTTCGAAAAAAGTGGAACCGGGTCCTTGATGGAACCGGGTTTCGATCCCCATCCCTATATGTAGGTACCACATCTGCTCGGGTCCTGCTTCCTGCCAGTGACGTTACGCTTGATGATTGGCTGAACGTTCCCTCATTATGTAAAATATTGTGGTTGCCCAGACAACGATAATAACATCGCTGGCGTCAGTTAGGATGTCTAATGACTGATGAAGTTTTACCTGATTGATAACAAAACTGAAAAAAATCTGTTTCTGTTGAACCATAATATAAAGAGGGAGAGCTGGGTAGCGCTGTGGCTAGCTGTGCTCAGTAGCTAACAGGTTAGCCTGTTTTAGCTCGGTCAATTAGCCATATTAAGCTATGCTACTTTTGAATTCTTACCAACAACAACTGTTCATTTTCTAAAAGTAGAATAACTAATTTTATTAAGATGTCTCATTTATCCTCCACTGCCCTCAGATCTTTATAAAAAGAATAAAAATAAATAATACTTTTTGTGTATCCTTGTTAAATGGCAGAGCTCAGTCTGTCTTAGAGGGCAGGACTTTCCTTCAAGACTGGCAATGATTGTTTTCTACTTTTGGCTACTTTAGATCGGCAATTAAAATGTAAAATAATAGCAAATATAGGGAATAATATGTTGATCCTTAAGAAACGGGTGCAATACAGTCCGAGTGGAGTTGCCATATATTGACATCATAAGAAGGGGTGGGGCCCCGAGCAAATCTGGTACCTACACCAGGTCACAGAGGTAGTGTCTGACTTTTTAATCTTTGATCTGATTATGACCCATTTCAGGGTATTTCCAGGTCCAATGGTCTAGGTTCATAGGAGCTAAACAGATAGCAATAAGTTTGTAGTTAAATGTAGCTTTACTAAAAGATATTGAAAAGTGTAAAAATAACAATACCTATAGGCCTAAAATTAACCTAAGAAAATAAAATGTCTTTCCAAAGAATGTTCTTCCTGAATTGTTGCTTCAGAACTTCAATAAATGTTCAAGTCCATTAGTCAGTGAGTCAGGGGGATTAGTCAAGTCATTGATTATATTAAGGCAAGCTCTCTTGATGCCTGTATTTAAAAAAACATAATACTTTGGACTTGTAATGCACTTTATATTTATACAAAAAAGGGGGGGGGGTTCAATAAAAAGCTGCCCTAATAAGGTGGGTGTTAAAAGCATCCACAGTCTGTGGGGTCCTCAGGTGGCCAGGGAGAGCGCTCCACAGCCTGGGAGCAGCTGAAAAGAAAGCCAATCTCCGATTGGTGTGAGGGATTGTATTTGAGTCAATGAGTCAATGCAATCAACTGGTTTTCCTTAGAAAGAAAACTTTGTATCAATTTGACTGTATGATCTGGTTGAACTGTAAAGTGCCTTGAGATGACATGTGTTGTGAATTTGGCGCTATATAAATAAACTGAATTGAATTGAATTGTACGATACTTTGACCTTGGTGGTTTCAGCAGATATGTTGCAGTAGATCTGAGGTTACCTGTTAAGGTCTGTGGGGTGAGAAGTTCCTTAAGGTATGGTCAGGCATCACCATGGATGCCCTGCGGGGTAGGGAGGGAGACATTGTACTCAATTCTGAGTGTAACAGGAAGCCAGTGATTTGAGGAAGGAGGTGATATGGTCATGTTTATGCACCCTCATTAGCATCCGAGCAGTGCTGTTTGGTATGTATTGCAGCCTCTTCAGGCTTTTCTCAGGGATCCCGATGTGGAGCGCATTGGAGTAGTCCAGCATGGAGGAGAAAAAAGTGTGGACAAGCTTTTCTGCATCTGCAGGAGTGAGTGTGGGACGAAGTTTGGCGACGTTTTTGAGCTGGAAGAAGGAGGTCTTGCAGAGGTGTTTGATGTAAGCCTTAAAGGTCAAATGCGAATCCATTTTAACACCCAGGTTAGTGGCAGATGTTGAAAGGGGAAGAGTTTATCCAGAGAAGGTGATGCTGGTGATGTCAGATGACTGAACCTGGTGCGGAGTGCCGACTAAGATGGCTTCAGTCTTGGAGCTGTTTAGCTAAAGGAAGTTGTGCTTCATCCACACTTTTACTTCCTCCAGACAGGTGGTCAAAGTTGATGATAGCAAAGGAGCAGAGGATGGAATAGCAATGGAATGAAACCCCATGCTGGGTGATGACATGGCCAAGAGGGAGCATGTACAGATTAAAGAAAGTGGGACTGAGCACTGTACCTTGAGGGACACCACAGGTGATGTTGTGAGCCAGGGATTTAGCCTTTCCCAAGGTGACATACTCAGTTCTTCCAGAGGTAAGATGAAAAAGTACTGAAAAACAGTCATAGACAGACTCAGAGACTCTGATAATGGAGCTTAAACGATGGAGGAGGATGTTGTGATCCACAGTGTCGAATGCTGCAATCAAGTCCAGGAGCATCTGCTGTCATCAACAGGTCATTTGTGACCCTGAACAGAGCTGTTTCCATGCTGTGGCCCTTGCGGAAACCTGACTGAAATTTTTTAAACAGGTCATGTTGTTTTAGATGTTCCTGAAGCTGAGTGGAAACTACTTTTTTCCAGCACCTTTGAAAGGAAAGCAGATTGGAGATAGGCCTGTAGTTGGCAAAGACTTCTGGGTCAAGGGTGGGTTTTTTGAGAATTGGCCTCATGATAGCAGTTTCCAGTGTTGATGGAACCTGGCCGGACTGGAGGGAGTGGTTAATGACTGTTGTGATAAGGGGACTTATGATATGGAGATTGGATTTTACCTAGACTGTTGGGAAAGGGTCCAGGGTGCAGGTAGAAGGTTTCATCCTTTTGATGATGTCCTCAACTTCTTGCTGTGAGATGACCAAAAAACAGCTGAGAGGTTGGGAAATCCCAGGTGGTGGGTTGGCAGTCGGGACAGGCAGTGTGGAGTAACTGGGTAGTAGGGAGAGGATGGCTTTTACTTTTTTGCTGAAAAAAGTGATGAAGTTGTTGCAGCTTTCTTCTGTGTCTTCTGTTTGAGAGTGTGCTTGTGGTTTGAGAATGTATCTTATGGTTGAGAAAAGTTGATTGGAGTTTCCAGGGCTGTTGTTGATAATGTTAGAATAGAACTGTGAACGTGCATCTCTCAAGGACCTTGCATAGGACTTCTGATGTTCACAGTAGGCCTGCCTATGAACAGTAAGTCCTGGGGCCTTGAGGCGCCACTCAAGGACTCGGCCAGCTTTTGTCATTTGCCATAGTTCTGAGGTGTACCATGGGGCTGGGCGTAAGAAGCTGACAGTTCTAGTTTTGACAGGGGCCTGGAGATCTAGGAGACTGCTCAGAGATTGGTTGTGGAAATCAACCGACTCGGTGACTGAAGAGAAATCAATGGTTAAGGTGTCCGAGTTCATTTTTTCCAGGTCCCTATAGAAGATTTGACATTTGGCTTTGATTTGTGGGGAAATGAGTTACAGCTCCATTGAGATGGTCTTGTGGTCAGACACACCCAGATCATATGTTAGAGGGTTCCTAACGGGGGCGGAGTTGGATATGACCAGGTCCAGTGTGTGCGCCCTGGAATGTGTGGGGCCATCAACATGTTGTTGAAGGTTGAGGCAGTCCAAAATTTGCAGAAACTCAGCTGAAAAATGAGAGGAGGGTTGTCTACATAAATATTAATATCTCCAAGTATCATGATGTTGACAGAGGTGGTGCAGTGTTGTGTGAAGGTCATGTGTCTCTGGGATGAAAGCCAATTGGGTTGGTGGGGCAGATGAGGAGAGGGGGAGTTACAATTAAATGCTAGGCATTCAAATGAGGACAGTGTAGGAAGGGGGAGGGGGGTCAGCACCAGCTCCTGTTGGTGCATGACAACTAGGCCACCACCACAACCAACCGGGCGGGGGGGTGGGGGGGGTGGCAGGCGGTCAGACTTCGTTCGGTCTATTCGCTGAGAGCTGAATAGACCCCTGGCTGGAGCCATGTTTCTGTGAGACACATGAAGTCTAATCTCTTTTCTGTCATTTGGTCATGTACGAAAGATGCTTTCTTTATGAGAGATTGTTTATTAAAAAAATATTTTTTAAGTGTTGATGCTGTGGTGAATCTCTGTAGAGGCAGTAGTACTGAAATCCACTACATGTTTTCCAGTTAGCTGGGTGTGGCTAGACATTGTGTTTTTTCCTATGTTGCTCGGCTGAGCAGGCTGAGATTTTGCTGTTTCAAGTGTTCTTAGCGCTGAGAGCAGCGCCACTCTGATTGGCCAGACACAGTTGGTGTATACCACTGACAGCAGGAGGTGATCAACAATCCTTTGGAGGTTGATATCAGTTGGTGAGTAAAGCCACCGGTTTTGTAACAAGCCATAACGCAAAATCTCAGACTGTAAAACTGAAAACAACAATGTTCAAAATAATGTTGGAGAAGCAGCGAACAACGATTGCCAGCGTCCTCTCCTACTTTCAGTATGTATAGAAAACGTAAATGAACCACATTTTTAATCCAAATAAAATTTTATTTGAACCTTTTAACCAAGGGGGTAACACGATTATTTTTTCACCGTCACTGAGTGCATATAGTATAGTGTACATATATATAGATATATACTGCATATAGTGTGTACAAAATTACAATAAAATCTGTTATATAGAGGCTTCAACTAGGCAGGGTGCACAGATCTTTACATTTTCTTTTCATTTCTGTCTCTGTCCCCCAAGAATTAAAACATTTTATACATTTGACTGATACTAAGGTAAGAAAAAGGCAGTAATTAAGGCTGAGAATGTTTCTATGCTGCCTGAGGCAGAGAGAGGATGGATGGATGGATGGATGGATGGATGGATGGATGGATGGATGGATGGATGGATGGATGGATGGATGGATGGATGGATGGATGGATGGATGGATGGATGGATGGATGGATGGATGGATGGATGGATGGATGGATGGATGGAGGTAGGCGGCTGTTATGAACGATAAGCTGTATATTTAGTCATAAGAACCTTCTAGAAGGCAGATCGTTCTGTCTGAAGCCGTTCTATAGAGGTGCTAACTGCTAATAACAAACATTTAATGGATGGATGGATGGTGCTAACTGCTAAGAAAAACATTTAATGGTTTATTCTTCAGTCCTTCCTGATGCCTGATGTTGAATGTTTGCTCAAATTTATGATGAATTGGTCCAAAAGAGACTAAACCTCTGTGGGTGTGTTTTGGTTATCTTCATGATTTTTAAGTTTTAAGGTTAAGAATGAATTTAACTGTTTCTCTCAACAGATGAGATAATAAGCAGAGTGTCAAAACTGCCAATAAATATTATTATTATAATATAATATCAACTCTCCTTCATTAACCCTGCTTGTCTTTTCTGCAGCCCTCTGCTCTCCCATCGTCATCCCTCTGCTGCAGACGTCAGTGGAACCTTTCCAACTGCTCTGACATTCAGGTTAATCTGATTAACAAGCTTTCCTCTGATACTCCTCCTGGTCAATGACTGCTGCCATGGAGACTCCTTTCTACCATGACGACTCCCCCTCCGTTCCCAGTTTCAGTCGAATTGCTGAGTACGAGCGATTCCCTGGCAGTAAGATGCTGATGAGTAAGAAGGCCATGTCTGGAGGTCATCACTTCCTCGCCGGTAATTCAGCAACAGGGCGGAGTGGAAACCACAGTGGCTTGATGACATCAACCTCATCATCTACAGCACCTCCTGCAGATATGAACCTGCTGAAGCTGGGGTCACCTGACCTGGAGCACCTCATCATCCAGTCTAATCAAGGAATGGTCACCAGCAGCCCAGTATCCAACTCCAGCAACCCCTTCATCTACCGCAACCAGGCCACCAACGAGCAGGAAGGGTTCGCAGACGGCTTTGTTAAAGCCTTGGCAGACCTCCACAAGCAGAACCAGCTGGTGGGAGGAGGACACATGTCCCCATCCTCGTCTTCCACCGTCTCCCTGCAGGGGTCTTACCAGAGGAACCTGATGTCCGGAGGAGAGATACCCGTCTACACCAACCTAAACAGCTACAACCCCGGACAGACTCCTTATTCTGGTGGGCAGATCCCGTATGGTGGAGGTTCAGGGCATGGAGGAGGTGGGGGCCCCCACACCCACACCCGAGGTTTAGATGCCCCTCAGACTGTCCCGGAGGTCCCCCACCCAGCAGGGGACCCCACATCTCCACCTTCTCTCTCTCCCATCGACTTGGAGACGCAGGAGCGCATCAAAGCAGAACGGAAGAAACTTCGGAACCGTATCGCTGCATCTAAGTGCCGTAAGCGGAAACTAGAGCGGATCTCACGGCTCGAGGAGAAGGTGAAGGTCCTGAAGAGTCAGAACTCTGACCTGGCCTCCACCGCCACCATGCTGCGCCAACAAGTTGCTCAGCTCAAACAGAAGGTGATGAGTCACGTAACCAACGGCTGCCAGATCGCCGTGGCAACTGGATCTGCCTCCAAATCAGGAGGAGGAACCGGCAGTGAGGAGTCCAGCTGCTGAGAGGGATGAGCAGGAGATCAACAGTGAAGGTCTGAGCTGGGGCGGCTAAAGGTTTGGACTCCCATGGCGTTATGCTGAGTCTGCTGAAACAGAAGAAACGTGTCGGAAATCCTGAATCTTTACTGGGATCAACAGCCTGACAGGAAGATGATATGAAGATAAACCAGCAAAGATCAGGAGGACGGATGAATCCCTTCAGATCTTTGCAATGTGAGAGTCGGACATTAATACGTTTCAGCTCCTCTTTCCCTTTGTAAAGGAAGAAAATATTCTAACATAGTTAACTTTGGAAAAAGATTGGCTTCTGATTCTTCCCTTCCCCAGGTCCACTCGGCGAGCTGCGTTTGGTAATAAAACCAACATTGCGTGTTGACGTCACAGAATTACAGAGTTTAATCCAATATAAGACAATGCATACACTTTAGAAATAAGACAATGCACAAACCTACACCAGAAACTGCAGAACAACAGAGACATACATTCCATTACCTGACATAGGAGGAAAGAAAGCAAAGACGTACAAGACATCTTTGGAGAGTTTGCAAGAGCAAAATCTGATCTGTAACTTCTATTTAGAAAGCTTTATCCTCTTGTATCTAATCCATTCAAAAAGGGCTGGCCCTCGGTCCTCCAACCAAACGCCATCTCTGACACTGCTAGGGCTTCCCCTTATTTACTGCAAACATCTGGGGTCATTTGCTTCTTTATTTTAACAAGAAAAGGCGGAAAGCTTGTCCTGGCATCTAGCATTCCCAGGGTCATAAAACACAAGATAAGCTCCCACAGACAGCTTGTGGAATGCGGGGGCCTCACCATCCCTGGTTGTTTATTCTGGAAGACTTTTGACCTTCTGTAAACCAAGCAGAAATCTCTCCTGCAGGCTTAAATAATGTTCGCCCCCCAGGAGATACTCATTTTAAGGCCTCCTGTGCTTTGAATACTTACCCATTAGTAGTTTTAAATCATTAACACAGCCTTGTTCAAAATTCAGACATATGTTCAAGTGAGAGTGTTTACACATGCCATAAGATTAACTGTAATAAAGTCTAAAAATAATCATTTTTCTTTAACAGTCCCCGTTTTGAGGTCTGAAACATACAGACCTCACAAATAAAATGATTAAGCCCTCTAATAGAGGAACCAAAAAACTATTTAGTATACTAAAAAACTAAAACATTAGCCCAATTTTATAACAGTCCCCTTTTTAAACAGCACCTCCTAGGTCCACTGCCAGGTCATGTGTCTAAAGCTGAACTCCATAATCTAAACTTATCAAATGTATCTTGCGCTGTCCAACAATTTAATACTCACCTGATGAACCACAAAATTTTAACCAGTAAAAACTAAACTAAAAATACATTTCACTTATCAAACATGAAAAATCATAAAACTCAGTTATGTCAATAGAAGAAAACACACAATAGAAATATTAGCCCAAGTATAAAATTAGAAAACCAAAGCAAGATATCTCGAAATTACCAAAAAATGCTCAGCAGACTCAAAAGACAATACTCGCCACAAAAATTACAATTTGTCAATACAAAACAATAACAACATAAAAAAATACATCATAAACACATAAAAATTACAAGACCTTTTTTTCTTTTTTTTTCACAATTCAACAATAAGAAGTTAGAGTTCGTCTCTATGCTCCTTCGATAGTCTTTCAAAAATGAATATGAATTCTTCGTCAGGAAACGATCCAAAAATACGCGCAAAAAGAAACGAATGTTCTTGAAGAGTTCGCAAAAACGAAAACACGCAATAAAGAGAAGATAAGTTAATGATGATCTTGTAGCTGGATCCTTCACGTGTTCCTCCTCGGTTGTAAACCTCAGGTTTTCACCTGAGTGTCCGTTGCTCACTGAAAATTGGAGTATTCTGCCAATTTAACAGTGAGTTTAAGGAGAGGGTGCAATCTCCTTTTCTCAATGGAAGGACACCGGAACAGGATTATTGTGCCTGTCTGGGCCTTTTAAGCCTTGTAATTCAGGAAAATGAAGTGGTTTTGGCAGACTTCTGCCCGGAAATGCAGATCCTCCTCCGCGCTGTGATGGCCCTCAGACACTCCTCGACCGCAGGTTGAGACTGTAGATTCTCCTGTATGCCCTGCAGCGTGCGTTGTGGCTCCTCAGCTGACTCCAATGGAACCACATGTCTCCTTTTCCCTTGTAGACGGACAGCCTGAGATGTCCTCTCCACGACTCGGTATGGTCTGGCGAAGCGAGGTTCAGACCACTTTCTTTTGATGACCATCAGGCGCACCCAGTCGATTCCCCGAACTGATCCCGAGCCTGGACGTTCCTGTGACGTCTGGTATTTTGTAAATTCTGCTGCCAGGACCTGTAACTCATTGAAAAAATCTTTATGAGATAAATGTGCAAGCTTACCTTTCCATCCTGGAATGCGGGTAGCAGGTCCTGGAAACATCCGTCCTGTCTGGAGCTCATATGGAGAGAACCCTGTTGATTGGTTAATAATTGATCCTACACTTTATGACAGCTTCACTGTCTTCCTTTTGTATTATAAATCTGCTACTTTGGAGCTGTATTTTATCAATCCTTTGACCCTCTTTTTATATAAGGCCTACATGAGAAATGAAAGTTTCCTATCATGTTAAACCCAAAACTTAACTGTATTTTAGAAGCAGTTCCATAACTGTTAATTTGTAAATCTCCAATTTAGACCAATTTAATTTCAATCATCATATTTTCTATTTTTTAAAACCTTAAAGAATGATCAGCCTGCTTTACATGAGTCACTAAATATCAAAAATGACCTACTTTATTCCAATCATATTTTAAATCCCAAAAATTTCAACCATTTTTACCTTTGATCCATTTATTCATTTGAAAACCTATTTATAAAATATTTAATTGAATAATGTATTACCCTTTTATATTGTTTATCAATTATCAATGCCTTTTCAGTTTTGGAGAGAGATTCGACACAGCTAAATTTATTAAATGATGTGAATCTTTAGTTTAGACCTTCCTGGATGTCTTAGTTAAACAACTTATTTTAAAACATATGAATAGAGTTTGCAACAATCCAACAATCCCTTTTCCTTGTTTAAGAAACACTTTTTTAGTAAATTATTTGATGGGGCAATATTTTGTTTAGTTTATTCAATTTAATTTTTTACTTATTTCATACCCCAAATAGTTAGCTCATCTTTAATGCTGCAAATTTCACGAAAAACTTTTTAATGTTTTTTTGGTTTTAAATTTCAATAACCTCTTTTTCCGAAAAGTAAATGCAGAGACCCCAAAAACCTAAAAATTTGCCTTCAGATAAAATTTCCATTCTTTTTCCCCCTTTTTCTAAAAACAGAACAAATTTTCCCTGTCTTAAAATACAATAAAAATCCTATAAACTCATTAGATGAAATCCGTATCACCACAAACTTTACCCTATTTTAACCCACAGTTGGATGCAATTCAAACATGGGGTCCCAGTTACTGTTAAAATTTGAAAACCTCAATCAAAAAATTTTAAAATGTTTGTTTTAAATTTATAAAATAAACACAGAATTTGGGTTTTGTCATTTGTCGAAAGTCATTTTTAAAAACCCCCAATCCACTTTAAAAACCCTTTAATTTAAAATTTCCCTTTTAAAATTTTTAAAATTAGTTTTACAAATTTGGTCCCACTGTACTATGAAAATTTAAAATTTAGATAAACCCCCTTTCCCCAGATGATAAAAGGCGTAACCAAAAATGAAATTTCAGCTATTTTTAAAAAAAAATGTTTAATTGCAATCGTGAGTCCATGCCCATTCTTTGCGGGCCCCGGGAAGGGAAAAAAAAAAACATTTCATTTTGTGAGCCAAAAGAGTAAATTTAAGGGAGGAATGCAGTTTTGGGTAACAGTTGGTGAAAACCCCAAACCCCCTTTTAATTTGCATCGAAAAACTTGCCCCAAAGGAGATGGGGTTTTTTTTCCCCCCAAACCCCTAAAATTTTCACTGCGGGCTGCGGCGTGAAAAAAACAGGGCCCCTCAGTGCTTTTATCAAAAATAAAAAAGAACAAAGGGCATACACATAAAAAAAAATTTTAGAGAAAAGAACTTATTCCCCACAAACCAAGTTGTGTTGGCCCCCATTTGTCCCCAAAACCTCCCAGACTAAAGGGAAAACCCCGGGGAGTGGGTTTTGGGGCCCCCGGGTCAATGATCAGAGTGGGGAATCCAGGATTAAAAACATGAGAACACACAACAGGCCCACAGCTGAGCCCCCCTTGGCCAAATTCCCCCAATTTTTTATCTGTTTGAATCAGAAGGTTTCCAGAATGGGGGGCCCGGGTCTTTTTTTCCGCAGTGCAAAAAACATTGGTTTTACGGCCCCCCTTTGATAAACCCTTTGGTCACCCCTTTCGGGGTCAAACAGAGCGGGACTTTAGAAACCAGAGACCGTCATCTACTGAAACCCCCGTCCGGGTTTGGACAAAAGGCTATGTTTTTTTGTGGTCCCGACTCCTGTGATTTCCAGCCATAAAAGACTCCCACAGAAAAACGCCTGAGCCCCTTTTTTGGGTTATCAGCCCGGAGGGAAAAGAAACAGTCAAAGGAGAAATTGTTCCCCAAAGGCCCTATGGCAGAAATTTGCAATCACGTCCCGATCATCATTTTTTTTTTCCAAAAGGGGGAGGGGGGGGGAAACCAGTTCGCTTTAAACTGCCCTTTCGAAATGCTCAAAAAGGTTCGGCTTTCAAAACCAACAGTCCAGCGAAGATGGGCCTAGTTCGATCATCTGTTTTGTTCAGAAACCCAACCCACCCGGCCCCTGATCCCGGGTAATCAAGAAGACCCCTTTAAAAATAATCTTCCCTTTGTTTCCCCTTGGTTTAAAAAAGCCCCTTCCCCCAAGATCGCCTCAAGTCAGAAGGGGGAGAACTGCCAGGAAAAAAAAATAAAAAGGAAATTTAAAAAAGAAAACTTATATTTGCCAAATTTTTTTAAACTTTACTATCATAAAAAAATTTATCTTGTGATGCCTCCCCCCGATTGGCGCTAGTTTGTTGTTTTTATAGCAAAAACGGCCAACTCCCCCAAAACCTGAACGGCAAAAAAAATTTGATAGAAATTTTTTTAAAAAAATCCCGATCGGATGTCCCAAAAATTTAAGAAAATTAATGACCTTACTATTCAAAATAAAAATAAACGTCAATACCCGATGACTTTCATTTCTGTTGTGCCAAAAAATTCAACTCCCAAATTCAAAAAATTTTCACAACCTCACAAAACTC